AAATAACTTGAGTTACTTCACTCTGTTCATCAAAGATCGTGATCAGCTGGATTACATCGCGGACCGAATAACTAATGCCACCATATCAGCTTTTCAAGAAAACTGTCCACTAAGGGTTATAAAAGATAACTGAAGCACACCCTGGTGGAACAATAGCCTAAATAAATTGAGGAAAGAAGTTCGGAAATTGTTTAATCGAGCTAAAACAACAGTTAACTGGGAAACCTATAGAGCTGCTCTAACAAATTACAACAAAGTAATAAGAAAGGCAAAAACAGAATCTTGGAGGGCATAATAGATGTGCTTAGCAGTGCGCGAATCCACAAGATCCTGTCAAAAGAGCATGTGCAGGAGTAAGGGGCGATAAAACGCCCAGATGGATCCTACACACAATCTAGAAAAGAAACGTTAGAGATTCTCGCAGAGAACCACTTCCCAGGAGGTCTGCTGATGAATGGCCTTCAGGATGCCCTACCTATAGTGATCGGATTGAACGACCTGGGAGAGAAGACTGGTTGACGGCCAACAAAATAATTACAGTGGCGGCCATAAAGGGGGCGGTCCATATCATATCACCCTTTTAAATCGCCTGGGGAAGACGGCATTTCCCCTGCTCTGCTACAAAACGGACTTGGGATCCTGCTTCTATTGCTAATAAAACTCTTCAGAGCCAGTCTGGTGTGGAACCATATTCCACCAAGCTAGACAGCCACCGAAGCGGGGTGCAAAGAAACCACACCTCAATCATTCAGACCAATAAATCTGACATCGTTCCTCCTGAAAACTTTAGAAAAGGTGCTGGATGAGTGAATTAAGAGGAAGGCGCTCAGGGCTAGTACCCATTAATACGCCTATCAGGCAGGAAAGTCCACAGAGTTGGCTCTTAGCACAGAATATATAGGTACCTCTATATATTCTGTGCTCTTAGTAACCTGGTCACTAGTATAGACGACTCTCTGGATTAGGACCATGCTGAACGGTAGAGTAATAACGACTTCTCTACAGAGGGAAACGCTCAGGTTCAGTGCCGCCAGGGGCTGTCCGCAGGGAAGGGTACTCTCTCCGCTTGTTTGGTCACTTCTAGTGGATGACCTCGGCCGTGCCATAACTGTGGGGGGTCGAGGTTCAAGTATATGCGGACAATCTAGTTATAATAGCCGAGGGTAGTTCTGAGATGAGGGTCGCAGCTGCACTCCAAGAGGTGCTAGACTGCGTGCTTGATTGGTGCGAGAGAGAGGAAATGACAATCAATCCTCACAAAATGGTCATAGTACCCTTCACCAGGAGAAGAAAACTTGATAACTTGGTACCCCTAACTATTCGGGAAGAATTAGCATGAAGCAAAGTATTTGGAAGTCATCCTGGACAAGACTCTAAACTGGAACGCTCATTTCGAAAAAGTAAGCGAAAAGGCAAAATTGTCGCTTTGGAACTCCCACAGGATCAGCGGAAAGACCTGGGAAACCATTCCAAAACAGATTCACTGGATCTACTCCATGGTTATCAGACCAATGATAACCTATGGCTCTGTAGTATGGTGGGACAAGGCGAATCAGAAAAGGGCCCAAGCCACACTTAGCGGACTGCAGAGAATGCGATAACGGGAGCGTTGCGCACTACGCCTACAGCAGCTATGGAAATCCTAATAAACCTGACTCCACTCCACATATACGTGAAGAGGTAAGCAATGAAGTCAACCTATCGGCTGTACTATGCTTCAAAAAGCACTTTGGCGGGGAGCAGCGCAATGCAGCACACGGTGCTTGTGGATGAAATAAATCGACACGGCACCCTCAGCATGCTTTCCGACATAATGCCAAAGAAATCCAACTTTGGTTTGCCCTTCAAAACAATGATTCCCGACAGAGAGCTATAGGACAGCGACAGGGCCGAGCTACTGAGGGCAGATCTCTGCCTGTACACAGATTGCTCCAAAACTAAACATGATGTCGGAGCAGAGGTATATGGTGAAAAACCAAGGCTGGGAATTTCGGTCAGCCTTGGCAAAAACTTATCCATACTTCAGGCCAAATTGCTGGCCATCGAGCTTGGCGCGAAAAAGCTGCTGGGAAAGCAACAAACGCACAAGTCGATAAAAATATTTTCTGATAGCCAAGCTGCGCTGAAAGCACTGGCATCCATACATTGCACGTCGAAAACAGTATGGAACTGCAAATAAGCCCTAACCCAGCTAGGGGAAAATTACATCGTTTCACTAGTCTGGATACCGGAACATACCGGACAAGAAGGCAACGAAAAAGCGGACCAACTTGGAAAAGCTGGATCGGAGCTTAACTTTATTGGACCGGAGCCGGTACTGGGAATAGCCCTGAATACGGGTTATTTTTACAACTCGACCTGGGCCAATACAGAGGCCAAACAATATTGGTCGAGACTAAAGGTGGGCACAGTTAATCGAAAAGTTAACTTCGTCAATCGTTAATTCGCTACTTGGAAAGTTAACTTCGATGATCGTTAATCGTTAAATTTTTGAGAACATAACGCAAGGTAAAGTTATCCGTTAAGAGTTAATCATCGAAAAGTTATACTGATGTTTGAAGCTAATTATAAGTAATAGATAATTGAAATAGAATAGGCTGGCGGCTGGGCTAGGGTATAGTATTTTTAATTCCTATTTGGAAATACCAGTCATTTTAGTGATTTGTAATTGGTTGGTAATTTTTTGTTTCATTTGATTATTGATAAACAAGGATGGTGTTATTTCAAATGGGTATAAAAAATACTATACCTACACTCCTACACAGGTGAATGTGAATAAAAAAAAAATTATCTAGATCTAAAAAGCGGCACTATTTTCAATTTACGTAGCTGATTTATTTACCATTTACCTCTGCAAGAAAAAGGAGTTTATAGAACAATGCCTACTACGTTCCGCCTACAGCCCAACGATACGCCTCAGCTCAAAGCGAACTATCCCGATTGACCTTGACGCGCAATTCATGCAAACAAAATTACGTCATTTACGAACGTAACGGACTATAGTTAACGGAAGTCCAATGTAACGGAAGTTAAGAAAACCGTTAATATTTTTCTAGGTTAACTTAAAAGTTAAATTTAAACAATTTTTTTAACTTCGTTAATTAACGGATAACGGATTAACGGTTTTCTGCCCAGCTTTGGTCGAGACTATATCAGGCATGAACCATGCAAAATCCTTTGTACCCTGTCCAAAAGGGGGGAAAGTGGTAGACATACTTTTGGGAATAGGGAGGAAGAGCCTCAAAGCATTGGTGGGTCTGGTACACTGCAGACTCCGTTATCACATGCACAGGATCGGAATAGCACAAAGTGCCGAGTGTCGCCTATGCATGGAAGAGGACGAAACTGCAGAACACGTCCTATGCACGTGTCCGGCGATAGGCAGAATCAGGCATGCTGTTTTCGGGGAGTCAGCTTCTCGACCCGAATACATGAAGCATGCTTCCCCCACACTTTTCTCCACCTTCATAAGAATGGCTGGACTGATGGGGGAAATATAAACTCGCGGAGTGAGCCACAATAGACCGTAGGTCGCAGTGGAAGGATCGACATCGGACCACTCACAAGAAATCTAACCTAACTTATGCAAGAAATATAAGATGTAGGTAACGAAACTATAGAAATAGCAACTATGCGCACTTTAATCGGCTCACAGGTTGCTAATCAGTTTTCTCGTACGTCAAATTTTACGTGCAGTGAACCTGCAGCACAATAATATGAACTTTGTGGAACTATTTTGATCTAAAAAGTTTCTTCCAAGCAAGTTGAATTATTATGTACATACAATGATGTTGTCAGGTATGCCAGGAAGCAGAAAAATGACCCAGGAGCTTCTCGACTAATCCACAGCAGCCACAAGCAAAGGTAAAAAGGATCGAATCTCGTGTCATGAACCACAAACGGAAAAAGAATTCAAAATTCTCAGCATAAGAAAATCAAAAATACATCTTTTTTTTTTTTAAATTCAAAATGTTGAGCCAATTATTCACAAAATATCACTTGTTAGCTAATAAAATTTATTTTAGAGATTATATTTTTAATATTTTGGACGAAAGTTACTTGCTTGAGCAATTTCGGTAGTGACGCTTGACGCTGCGTTTGCACCGAATCTTCATAGCAAAACTAAAAAATGCTGTGCTAAAAGCAATAAGAATCCTAACAAAACAATAATAATTTTATCTGAGCAAATGTTGCTCCCAGTGATATCCATATTTACTTACTAATGGACAAAATAATAAGGAATATTCAATTTTACGCTTCAATACATTAGGGTAGTACCAATATCGGAAGAAATATAAAGTTACAAGTTCCAATAGTTAAAACCACAAACCACTGATGGAACCCAATGACACTTTAGTCAAAAATACTGAAATTAACTTGATTTCTTCAAAATTTAACAAAAAAATGGGATATTTGACTGGGTACTATTTTAATATTTGTTTGATACTTAAATAATTTGAAACATTCAATAAAATAATTATCGTATAAAATTGAAAATGTATAAGAGGTCCTTTTTTATAAGAAACAGTCAATTTTATGTCTTTCGAGAAACCCGGGTATACCCAATTGTTGTAAACATTTTTCAAACACGGCCGCGCACTTCATCATGACGAATATTACCAATATGATGCAATACTGGTAACTGAGATAATCATTTCTGTAAAAAGTTATCCACTTGATTTTAAATTATTATTGCTATAGTTATTCAAATATTAGGTTTATTTATTTATTTTTATATTTATTTCAAACGAGTACTTATATGGGACAGTATGGACACCTACCTATCTAGGTACCTATTTTATAAGATATTTTACTTTCATATAACTTTTTTTGGAATCTATAGGAAACTGAGTACACATATTAAAAAAATGCTTTGCAAAAAGGTCGTATTTGAATTGAAAGAATATAATTTTTAAACTGTTTAAATAAAGCTTAATTTTTTTCTATAATGGGTTAGATCAGTTAATACAATATTAATAAACTACTACGCTACTACATACCCCTTTCCTTAAACGGTGTCAAAATCATCACATCCAACACAGATTTTTTCCTTTTAAATTGTTCGTCCATATTTTTAGCCATATTTCAAAAATAATTGTATATTAAATGTAACAAAACTAACTCACACCACCAAGTACCAATAATGTCTGTTCTCCAATATTTTGAACCTACCAACGCTATTTATTATTTATTTAAAAAATTTTGATACACATATTTCACCGGTCTGTTTATACCTCGTGTTCGTGTACGTACTGTACTGTGGTCGTGGTACTGTCCGCGCAAATTCTAAATTCAAATTAAAGTACCCCCTAGCCTAACCCAGGCTGGAGGCGAGAGCTTTCGGTTGCGGCTGAATGTGAGGACACACAATTTCGTAGAAGGGACTTTCATGAACATAAACCTGACCCGAAACAAAAGTATTGTTTAAAAAATATGGCGCCTAAACTAATAATAAAGGAATTTCGCTACACTATAAATCTAAATTATTGAAAGTTCATTCATTGACTGTGAAAATTGAAAATGTGTACGTGACGATTAGCAAGGACTGGAGTCACATGTACGAGTCAAGCTTGGCTGTTACTATTATTAATGACAGAGTATTTTAAAGTGTTATGCGCCAGCAAGGAGTCTACATCCGAAAATAGCTTTTCACAGCAGAGATTTGAAAATTCCTGAAAATTATTATGTACGCGTTGCGAGAATCCGAGTAGATTTGTTAGATAAAAAGATATGCGAATCGATGAGTCACAAAAAAAATTTATAAAGTGCGATACTTTTTAACGTACAAAAATACCACACATTTAGGGAACTGTCCTGATGTGGACAACTTCATCAACATTGAAATATCAACAAATGATAACAATTTTCAGATTTGACTACTATGTGATAAGTCGAATTTTACTTATTTAAATTGCTTTGTCAATGAGTTTTTCAAATCGACAATAAAGCTCATTTAAATTTGAAAAAGATATTTCGAGATACCTACGCTACGATTCTTTTATTGGTGGTCAATCAAGTTTTGAAAAAAACAAAAAAAAATAAATTGATATTTCCAATACCTACAGTGGTACGGAGAAAACCGTATGGTTTAAGTAAACGAGTGATTCTAGAGATTTCTCCATCGAATATACTTGTCTATAAAGTGCGTAGTTTGTAAGTTGATTCAGTTTTAATAAAGGGATTATTGAATGAAATTGAGTAACAGCGATAATAATTGATTAGTGAATTTTTTAAAGTCCGATATACGTACGATATACGTATTTGAGATCTTCGTGATAGTTATTATATGTATATTCGGTAAAGTCTAAGAATCGGTCGTAATCTGTTTTTCCTACAGCCGTGCGGAAAAATCGATTTTCCGCATTGATATGCGTGCGGAAAATGAGTTTTCCCGCACGGTGCGGTAAAACTTTTACCGCACGCATATCAGTGCGGAAAAAGTTTTTCCGCACGGCTGTCAGTGCGGAAAAAAATTTACCGCACTGATATGTCAAAAAAAAAAGAAAAATTTTACATTTTTACGCCTGTAGGAAAAATATTGTACCTAACACTTGCGGAAAATATTTTTCCGCACTCGGTTGCTTCACCGAACTCCGCTACGCGTCGTTCGGTGAACGGCAGCCGCGTGCGGAAAAATTCATTTTCCGCACTTGTTAGGTAAATAGCTATTTTATACCCAGTGATATGCGTGGTCCACCTCAAAATTTTTTTTTTAAATTTTTTGGACATTTTTATTTTCATGTTTTTATGATGTGGCATTAAAAAATACATACGACCCTAAATTTTCACTCTTCTACCACCAAGCCCTATTTTTAAATAGCGATATTCGCTGACTCGCGTACTTTTCTTTTCATTATAGTCGAGTTAATTATCCACTAAAGCTGAAAATGTTTCAGTTGATCTGCAACCCTGCCGGATTGAGAATAGAACGTTGGGCGATCAATAATTATGTTAGATTTGCGTTCAGTTTCAATTCTCCAAAACTCCTTACCAATCACATTTGAAATATGGCTTAACATTTCTATCTTCAATTCCGTAGGGTTTCAGATCCAGATCGATTGAAACATTTTTAGTAGTGATGTGCAACTTGGATACTGAGAAGTTTCGGTATCGAATGGATAATTGAACTAAATGTATCGGATACTTTGGAATCTATGTGTTGGGATTGTTGAGAATTGGGATTGGAAATGACGCATAACTAAGCGTAACTGACTGAGCCACAGCAACGCGTGACCGGGGTCAGCTAGTATACAATTATATCACTTTTTATTTTATTTATTTGATAACTATACATATAGTTATTTACAAATAATATGTGCTTTCTTTTCTCACTCAAAATAATATTAAGATACATGTTGCAGACTAGAGAATACTTGAATCAAATAATATGTAAACTGGGAAAAAGAAATTTACTACTTAATACTATTTACGGAAAAGCCCAACTTCCTAATTACTTCTTTCTGTGAAAGAGATTAAGCACCTAAGTATCGTCCAAAATCGAAATTATAACGATTATAGGTAGGTAGTTGATAACTCGAAAATTTTCTTTGGCTGTATCAATCCTCTGACTTATGAGGCTCAGCACTTTACAAAATTGAAATTATAGTTGACAACCTGAAATTTTTTTTTGGCTGTATCGAAGTTTACGCTTTATGTTGTACTGTACTTATCCCAAAAAATGAGAATGCTACAAACAAAATATTCATATATTATATCACAAGAGCTTTAAATTCAATCGATTAAACTATCCAACATATTTTGAGTATGATTTTGCTTGGAAATTAGTTGAATGCACAATAACTTAATAGTTATTGTGCATGAAACTATTTGCCAAAAAGCAAAATTATGCAAAATATATTTGGATAGTTTAATCCATTTAAATTTATAGGTCGAGTGGTATACGGCTAGATTATTTCCTGAATAATTAGGATTGAGTTGTTGGCGTCAATCCTATCCAAAAAGTTCTATTTATTATAAAATGTCAGAATATTTCTATCAAAATTCTGTCAAAAAAGGTAAACAAAAATTTAATCGCTGATAAACAAGGTCTTGTGAAATAATCACCTATTTAAACAAAACTCATTCAAAAAATGACGTTGTCTGATGGGTCTATTTTATAATGAATGAAATAATCAAGGAAAAACCGTAGACAAGCGCATATTATGTAAAAAACCGTTTTCATCGTCAGTTTTTCGATAAATCATTAAAACCTTCAAGTAGGTAGTAAAAATAGAAACAGAGACTGATGGTCATCGAGTCTGTCATGTGATTTTATTTTTCTCTGAACAAAAATTTCAGATACATACCTCCGTATTTTCATTATTGTCACTATTATTAGCTTTGGTCTGTTTATTTGGATTGTTACATAGAACAAAAAAAAAAATATATTTTCATGCCTCTGACGCTATCAATATACTATTGGTATGAATGGGAAGCTCTCAAAAAAACATAATTAAAAAGTAATTATTTTTGAGTATTACCTATATAATAGAAAACGGCAATGCAATAAGCGAATATACCTATTATTTATTTCAGTAAGGGTTATGGATAAGGCTGATAATCAAAAGTAAAATATATTTTTTCTACAAACGTCACTAAAAGTGTCATTTTTAACGGATGCTGTCAGTGTCTAAAATGCCATTTTATGACACTGGTGTTAAAAGTGATTACTTTTAGCACTGAGTACTAAAAGTAATCACTTTTTCAATCATCGGCCCTAATTATTATGCCATTGTAGTTAGGTACTTTAGTTACCAAATTTGGAATTTGTAAGGATATTCAAGAGGTAGTGTTACAAAAAATATAATTTCCTTTCCCGGTGGCATTTGCATTGGCAGATATTCTATTAACAGGACTGAATAATACCTAAGTACCAAGTACGACAGTAAGGAATGTGCAGTAAAGATTTACTTCGTGTCCGTGACTTTTTATGTAGTACCTAGTTACGGATATCAAAAGCAAAACATACATCAAAGTATTCCCTTCTGCGAACAAGAGTAGTTAAGTCTAAATGAGTCATAGTCTGGTCAACGCTGAGAATCACACCACTCAGAGACAGATTGTTCCTAGCAAACTTGATAAATTTGTGTTGAACACTCTCAAGCCTATTGATGTGGATCCGCTAGTAAGGTGACCAAACTATGCATGAAAATTCAAGAACGAATCTGACCAGTGATGTGTAAAGAATTTTCATGGGGCGTATACTTGTTAAGTCCCTAGTAGCTCTTTCATTAAAACCCAACATTCTATTGTTTGCCCAGCGGATCTGAGTCTACGGAAGGAATTCGGACGTAAATGTGCCATGTTGCCACGTTTAATTATAAAAAAGCGAAAATACTAGGCATGAGTATAGTTAATTTGAAAATCCATTTTTTAATAACAAAATATTGATAACAATAATAAGATGCTAAATATTTTAACGTGGTTGTTAGATCTATCCTTATTTTAATCCTGATTTCTTTAATTTGGTCTATTGTAAAAGATAAACATTTTCTAAAGATACCATCAGCTTTTGACAATTTGGCAAGCATCCGTCCTGGATGAACCTGATTGGTGGAGTTTTTGGCAGGATCGCCGTTGTCATGGAGAACCATACAGTTGTCAATGAGCTAACGTCACCTTACGTCTCGCTATTGGCCAGGGCTCACGTCATTTTATCCTCCCATCTTGGAATATCGATTTATATTGAAATATCCAGTGGCGGAGATTTGATCATTGCTGATTTTCGTGTAAGAGTTGCAATACGATAACACTTCCAAAAAGTTCCGCACGCAGCTGGGTATTTTATGAATGAAATCAGCCATTTTTTTTACAACTGCATTCCCCTTACCGTTGCCCCGTAGACACAGACTCGCTGGGCAGACATTATTAGCCCTGCCAATAACCACTTCAAAATGCTTGGTGAACAATAACCTAGTATCTAGATAGACCACCAAGATCTTTAATGACAGAAACTTGAGACAAGCGAATTTCACCTCAAGCAATACTGAGAAAAAACCTTACAGGTGAGTCTACTGAATCTTATCAATGTCGAGGAACATGTCATTAAGTTGACACCAATCATAAACAATGTTAAGATCGTCTTGCAGAATAAGTATGTCTTGAGCTGACGTCACCTGACGATACAGCATCAGCGAAGACTAAAAAATTCAAGGAGAGCAACGATCCTAAATCATTGATAAATAAGGTGAATAGGAGGCAGAGCTGGGATCGTTACTTGAAAAAAGTAACGCGTTACTTTACAGTTACTTTTGCTCAAAAATAATTCGTTACTTAAAATTTACAGTTACTTTCGAATAATGATAACTTTATTTTCGTTACTTATTGGAAAGTAACGCGTTAGTGTAACTTCTTTACTTTAAAAGTAGTTCGTTACTTTTAAAGTAACGCGTTACTTCAAAAATAACTATTTACGTCGAAAATTGCGTTATTCTTTAATTTGACTCACCAACACAGCAGTCCAAACAATCAAATTAGACCTATACAAAATGCCAATATGTTTTTAGTTTGTAAGTCCGACTGTGGAAGAGTATTCTTGCAGAATTCAAACGGATTAAGGATTAAGCGACTAATAG